ACACACACACACACACACACACACACACACACACACACACACACACATACAGAGTTTTGCACTTTGTACATGTTTGCCACCCAAGCCTTCCCTGCACAGGCAAGCATGATCATCCACTTACCCGGGCGACGCATTAACCTGGTTCCCATTGGATGGATAAACGAGATGCAACTTCCTGGAATAGGCCGTCCCGACTTCAGCTGCAGTTGAATGAAAGATGTAGAAATAAAACCGGCCGTAGCAGGTGATTGTTATAGTGGCGGTTCCACCATTTGCGCACCTCCAGTCAATGGTCCCTCGCCGTCGCCCCCCAACTGCCTGGTTGTTGCAGCGCTCTGCTTGTCTGTGGAAAGTGGGATGAATCCAGACGCCGCTCGTCTTCCCCAGAGCGAACTTCGTGATGTTATCATCCTGGTACGATTGGCTACACAGACGAAGCACCCTCTCATTGGGATCCTCACCTAGTCTTTGCCCAAAGTGTTCCCTCAATCTGTGAAAAATATCCCTGTTGTACAGCACCTGAGCAACTGCAGTGTTGACCTCACGATGGAATAACTGCACGCATTTATGCTCTTTCGCTTTCAAGGCTTTGCAGGTTTCAATCACTAACTCCAAGTGGCGGAAAAGCTGGTTAAGGGAGTCACAGGCTTTCTTCAGCTGAAAATAGTATGCAGAATCAAAACCTCGGACGGTGGTCCCGACACGGTTCCACCATGCACTCCAGTTTCCTTGATTAGTCGTGCCACTAACAAGATCACGAGCGTTTCTCAGTTCTTCCTCTGTTGACTCCCATTCGTCTATCATGGTTTGCCTGAATATGCCATCGTCTTTTGCTCCCTCAATAACCGCGCTGATATGCCTTGCAGTCTCAAGCAACTGCTGTTTGACCTGTTGGATCTGCTCTGGCCCTTGGCACCTGCTCTCCACGAAGCTGATGAATGAGCCGAGCAAGCTCAAGGTGTCTTTAATCCCCTGCAAAGTTTCCAGTCCCCTACCCAGGCTCGCCATTTTGTCTTTGACAGGCAATGGTTGGACGGTCTTTTATCAGCAAAGGTGGATTTCTTCCTCCACTCTTGCGCGGAGGCCTCTTGATCCCTGTCGTTCACCAAAGCTGCACACTGTCAGCCCTAACCACCCATCACTGGGCCATCCACAGTAACAGAACAATGGTTAGGTAGGCCCAGATAGGATAAAAGAAGAGCAAACAGAAAAGAAAGAAAAAAGCGAAAAGAAAAGAAAAAAGAAAAAAGAAAAGCGATACCTTTGTTGCATCAGAAACTGATATGCTTTGGTTCTCAAAAGATGACCATCAGATAAGGAACTTTTTTGGTTCCATTAACCAAAGCCTTATCACAAGATCAACGTGAATTTTTGGAAAGACCAATCACCAAAGAAGAAATTTGGACAGCACTCTCACAAATCGATGAGGATAAAACCCTAGGCATTGACGGATTTCCCAATGAAATCCGGGAGGCAATGCGGTTGGAATCATCAAATGAGCTGATGGAATTTTATTTTAACTTACCTTCCCCATCCACTGACTCGATCCAGTTCATCCCCTTGCACCAAGTGTCCACCAACCATCTGAAGTTCTCTCCCAGCTTACTGCTTTCACATCCTTTTTTTTTTTTTTTTTTTTTAACTTCGAGTCGTGGACACCACTTAGGGATGCGGTATGAGCAGCCTCCCTAAGTGGCTCCGCAGTTGAAGGCTCCATCTATTGGTGGGGAGCAGCACCTGCTGGAAACTGGGTTACAAGTCATTCCCGTGACTGACAGTGATCAGACAACTGACTCATGTACTCAGGATTTCTTATCCTTAATGTTGCCTGTTGGGTGGGCCTCGCCCCCCACTGGCCCCTGTTCCAGCTGCCAGTGGGGGGAATGGGCCCTTTCTTTGTCTGCCATCGTGTAGCCCTGGTCCTCGGATGTCATCTTGGACAGCTACCACCCTCCTGCATGTCGTCCTGTTGCTGAATCTGAGAACGCTAGGGATCTTCATAGCTGCCATTGTCATAGCCGGAGTGGTCATCCATTGCAGAGGACCGCTGTTGCTTGTCCATCGTGCATGGCCTGCTGACTTGAACCTTGGTCACCGGGCCGTGGGTGGGATACCAATGTTGGGGCCGAACACCATTTGTGGTGAGAGGGAGGCGGGGGAGTAGGTGATGGGAGGTTCACGGGAAGAGGAGGTGGCAAGGTTAGGGGGGTCGGGCCGTCCAGGGCAGGGGGGGCGGGCTAGAGAGAGGGAGGGGTGGTTGCAAGATTGGAGAAGGCGACGAGGGGGTGGGTGGATAAGCAGTCCCGGGGAGGGAAGGTGAAGAAGAGAGAGGATACGGGGCCGACGGTGGAGGCGGGGTGAGCGGGGGTTGAGAGAGGGAGCAGAGGCTGGGGTTGGGAAGGGGAGAGGGGAGGTTGGGTGCCAGACTGAGGAGTTCCTCGGAGTCCTCCTACGGGTGCATGATCCACTATCAATGCCTGTGCATTCCTTCCCGGCAGCGGAGTGTGGAAGCAATCAAGCGGTCTCAGCCACCAGTGCTTTTCTTTGGCAAGCCAGTTCTTCCATATCTTTTTTTTTTTTTTTTTTTTTTTTTTTTTGAGAAACAACCCGATCGGTTGCTAGAGGTGCTGATAAGAGCAGACACCTCTAGCACTGACCAGGGGGCTCCATCTACTGGTGGGGAGCAGCACCTGCCGGAAACCGGGTCCAGCGTCCCAGAAAAACATAATACTTAACAGTTTGCACAGACAACTGATTGTAGCGACCGCTGGGTGCATAACCCACCCTCAAAGGAGGAAGTATGGTGAAGCTACACGAGCACCCAGCAGCCTGGATTGATTGTCCACATGACAGCCTATATTATGTTACAAAATAGCCAATTGTGCAGGTTGCTTCCAACCATCGTGGAGTGTCACTATCCCCAGGGCAAACAAAGCACCTGTTCCCCATCCACCACCGTAATATGCCATGAGAACCAGCAGCCCGACTACACATTGCAGCGCATACCACCCTCAGTGTTGTAAGGATTTATTGTCAAGATTGACAACCGGTGACAAGGGCAGTGACCTCGGACCGACTCATTTCGGAATCCTCAGGGCATATATGCTTGCTGTCTCAGAGCACCGACCCCCCTTCCATTGCCGTCACCGGATGTTGTAGAGCAAAGTCCACAGTCTCCAAACTCGGAGCCGCCCCGACTTTCATTACTGCCTCCCTCAGCTCATTGTTGTCCACTGCAGATGGCCTCAGGCTGGGGGGTTGGGAGCGCAGGGGGGAGGGCGACGAGTGAGGTGGGGGAGGGGGGGGGGGGGGGGGGGGGGGGGGGGGGGGGGGGGGGGGGGGGGGGGGGGGGGGGGGGGGGGGGGAGGGGGAGATGACACAAGAATGAAGTTAGTCGGAAGGTACGGCACCTGAAAGTCAGTAAGAGGTTTTCGTTGCCACGTGCCCTCTGAGCATCTCCACGGTCTCCACAAGATGCCCACTCTCCCATCCAACTCACTGAACTTCCCATGGGGGTCCTGCCAGATTTGAATGTAGGAGTCGTGGATGGTTTGTTTGGCCTGGGGTTCATTTTCATTGCAGTATTCGTTTATCACGCATCCCAGGTGTGGTATCTGATCGCCTCTTCGATCGCTTGCTGGGCTTGCTGCAGACCGAACTGATGGTCCTTCCTTTCAAAGGAGCATCTAGCACGCCAGGCCAGCATTAGGATGTGCAGCCGTGTGTATGAAAACAGATTAACTGCGAAGGGGGACCAGTGGGCCAGCAAATGTCGATTCTTACCCAGCAACAGAAGGCCCAGATCCCCCGGGATGTGGAAAGTCGTCAATGAGTGAAAGGTGGCGTCCCACCAGCGCCACAGCTGGGCAACCATTGGGCACGCCAGGAGACAGTGTTCAAGCGTTGCTCTGGCAGGCAAGGTCGTTCTCCGGCAGTAAGAGCAAATGGGGGACAGCAGGCCTTTCTGTTCCAAATCTGTTCTTGAGACCAACCAGTCTGGTGTGGGAAGACACCAGTGTAGGATTTGCCACTGCAGAGAGCGAAGGTTTGTGGGCATAAGCTTTGCATATGTGGACCATGTCAGGTTGTGCAACAGGGTTGAGTCCATAGGTGAATGTCCATCGGTCAATTATAATCTGGGTGGTGGGCACGTCGGGGTTTGAGGTTCTGTAACCCCCTTTTATAGAATAGTCCCAGACATGCATAGGTTTCTCCCCAGGCCATTCCCACTCGCCCGGGTCAAAGGGCAGAGTCGCAATTGGCGTGGACGGTTCATAGACGAAGAGACCGTCTTAAGTTCGGATCACCCACCACTCGTACAAGCATCAGATCAGCCCTGCTGTGATCGCAGTCAAGTTCGTCGTTACGTGTGAGGCTGGACATCCTCGCCCCCGGGCGCTGGGGTTCATGGGCTTCCAGATTGCAGGTCCAGGAGTCACATTTGTGCACTCTATAGATAGCGCGCGGCAGGGGCAGATCAGAATGCTTAACCACCCAATCTCCCTGTTGAATGGTCGGACCTTTCTTGAGTGTCAGTTGCCAGGCCAGCGGCACGGCTTCTCGTAGGATGCGCAGTTTGTCCTCCACCTTTTTGACATACTTTATGCGTTTTTGGAGCTGGGCCGCGGGTATCCAGTCGCCTGCACGAGCATCCCAGAGGCTTCCTATTGTATATATACCTTTTTTGACCCAGGAGAGCTAGGGGGAATTCGTTGTCAATGGGAAGGGATTACCTGCTTCATCGACAATATGGGGGTTACCAAATATGGGTTGCCTCCATATATCGTGCCACCTATCAGGAGGGCGTTTTTGTTTCGGTCCCAAACATCTCCAAAGTTTGATCATGTTCGGCCACATGGCCAGTTCTTCCATATCAATGTGACAGTCTTCCATATCAATGTGACACTCCCGTCATCGTGTATATCTGCCATCCTCCTCTGGGGGTCGAGCCAGAGGTCCTTGAATTATGAGGTAGCTTGCCGCTTCACCAATTGATCTGCTATTGCAGGCAGCGCAGCGAGCAGCTTCTTATTGGCCTTTACTACGTTAGCCCTAATGTGCTCCCCAATCTCTGCTTTAGCCTCAGGGAGGCCAAAGGTGAACAATTTGCGCTCGTTAGAACATTGTGTTCTCCAGGTAACGATGCGTATGGCCAGGCGGGTATGCTTGAACAGGTTTCATTGGAAAGAAGATCAGGTGGATGGGTAGTCTGTTCGTCTTCCCAACAGTATAAGGCCAATTTCCCATTGGAAGGCGGTGCCTGAGAGCTTACACCACAGTGCGTCCCACCATCGTCAGAGTTGGAGAGCCATGGGGCAAGCCAACAGACAGTGCTCCAGATCTGCTTGGCGACGTTGTGACGAGGAGTGCCTGCAGTAGGTGCGGATTGGAGACAGCACACCTTTTTGTTCGAGATTCGAGCGCGCCGTTAACCAGTCCGGGGTCAGGAGACATCGGTGTATGATCTGCCACTGAAGAGCCCGCCGAGAGGTAGACATTATGTGTGAATAACCTATTTGTGTGATCGGCGATCACACCGGGGATGATTGCTCTGCAAACTTGAGCCACATAGGGCCTTGCCACACCACATACGGCCTCGCCACACCAATGACTTTGAATCTGTGAAAAAGACCAAACTGTGGCGGGTGCATCAGACCATCGTCTACCAGCAAGCTCACTCTCATTTTGCACATTTCTAGAGTGCTTTGGTGATGCCCATAGCCCCAACCCCGAGTTAGGGTTAGGTCCTCTGCAATCACTCCCAGACGTACCCACTCCCTATCCTAGGACCATTTTGTCCCACAAAAAACCGTCCCAGTTATCACAGCCCACCATGCCCAACTTCTTCTTCTTCTTCTTCTTCTTCTTCTTAATTAAAAAAGCCCAGGTTGTTGTAGAGGTCAGATTCTGGACATATGACAGTCACCTTTAGTAATCGACCATGTGGCTATCACGATGGTCCATATAAAGGCCTCTTTTCCTATGAGACTCCCTCCCGACCTACCACACTCGTAATTCTTCTTGGCGCACCCCCCATTTCCACAATCCTACCTCAATGTCTACCACTCAGGATTGTCACCGTCCAGTGATCTCAACGGGGATGACTTGACCGG